TGACTTCTCCCCCCCCTCCCTCCCTCCCTGTCTGTCTGTCTGGCTTACTGACTGTCTGTCTATGTTCCCCCCCACCCCCTTCTTCCTTCCTTCCTTCCTTCCCTCCTTCCTCCCTCCCTCCCTCCCTCCCTCCCTCCCTCCCTCTTTCTCCAAACCCCTCTATCTATCCATCTACCTATCCATCTACCACCCACCCACCCTAACCTTTCTAGGACCCATTGTCTTCATCCACAATGGGCTTTGCTCCCTAGTTATCTATAATATCATTCCTTGAAATGGACTCTTATGGAGTTGACGGAAGTGTAAAGGTACTGCATCCATAACGTGGATGTTGGAGTGATTAAGGCATAAATGTGAAAACATGGAGATGGGTTTGAGATACATTCTACAGGATAGATAGGCATCCACTGGAATTATTTAATATCTGCTGGGTGCCATCAGCACCAGTCTCTAGATTCTTGTCACTCAATAGAACAAATCATGCTCACAAAATGGTTTTTAACTAGTTTGGAACTGTAGGGGCACATTCTCGTGGCATAGCAGTATCAGTCTATTGCAAGAAAAAAGGAATCTTGTGCTGTCTTAAAGAATAATAAATCACTGCTTTGAGAATGTATACAATGTTATGAAAAGTAAGAATGTGGCAATAATAACCTTTGCAATTTGCACCTGTGTAGAGAGGTTTGAGGCTATGTCTTATGGAAACTTCTGAATAACTTCATTTTGTAAGGATTCATGTTTCAGCTTGGAACTGAGAAAATGATCTACATAGCATCAAACTATACCCAATCTATATTGATTTATTTTTATTATTGTGAACTATATCTGAAATTCATCCTTATTTTTTGCTAGATGTATGTAGCTTTGATTTGAGAAATTTCATGGTTTAAATCTGCAATAGGAAAAATTAGATAAGAAAACTTAGATCTGCAATAAGAAAAAATCTGCAATAAGAAAAATTTCAGAATGTGTAAGCTCCAATGTATATTAAACAACTGACTTAAAAATATTATTTTGAACTGTTGCTTACACTCAAGCTTCTTTGACTCTACACAAACGTGCCTTAATTCCTGGTGATATTTTTGATATTAACGTTTGCTTTAGAGTTCCATTTGTGCACTGATGTGTACATGGAACCCTCTTGAATGCAGGGACTTTCATCCCATGGACACCTCAGTGCTTTCAAAAGGGTACATGCACGGAATTTCCTTCTCTAATCAAGATGAGGGACTTGTCTTGTGGGATTGGGTAGGGTGGATTATTGGATAAACTGCAGGCCTCTCCTTCAAAAAAATGCTGCATTGGGTAGGGCTGCCAGATCTGGGTGGGGAAATGCCTGGAGATTTTGGGGTGGAGCCTGGGGAGGGGCCTCAGCGGGGTATAATCCCATAGAGTCCACCCTCCAAAGCAGCCATTTTCTCCAGAGGAACTGATCTCTATTGCTGTAGATCAATTGTAATAATGGGAGATCCCCAGGTCCCAACTGGAAGTTGGCAACTCTAGAATTGGGGCACATAAATGTAGAGAAAGTGGGGCACTTAAATCAAGTCTTCCTGATGAGTAGAGTTCTAACAATTCTCAGTTCAAACTGAAAGGAAAGCGATTCTACCTGATGAGGGAGTTACATTAGTTAAAAATTCTCAGTTCAAACTGAAAGGAAAGCGATTCTTTGGAGCAGTGAGTCCTTTGGAGTAATGGAGTAACAAACATCTCCTCATTCTGTTTCTTGCTCAGACAATACATGTTCCGGATCAGCTTTTACCTGTAGAAGTGGTCAGTGCATTCCCAGCCGGTGGCGGTGTGATAAACATAGCGACTGTATTGACGGTAGCGATGAACTGCACTGTCCCACACAGGGTCCTGCTTCGTGCCCTACAGCCTTGTTCACTTGCGATAATGGCAAGTGCATTCCCAGAATCTGGTCATGTGATACAGACAACGACTGCGGCGATGGATCAGATGAAAAGAACTGCAGTAAGTATTGGAACAGTATCCTATTTTGTCATTTTTTGGGAATCTGCCTTTTCATCCCTGATCCTGAAGTTATTCATCTTAGACTTTTATTGGTTATTTCTTTTTTTACATTACTTCTCATCTTTTGGGCCACCAACACTGCTGTCCTGTGTAGAATTACTCCAGCCTATGTCCGTTTAAACCAATAAGAGTAACTCTGCATAGGATTCCACTGGAGGGATTCTGAAGGTAAACGCTTTTGGTGTATAGCTCTTAAGCACTTAAGAGGCTTTGGTCTGTAATATTCTCCATGACATATTAATCCAGTGTAAATCAAAACAGACATTATTTTAATGTGGAGTATTCATTTTGTCTTTATAGCTGTTGCTGAAACTTGTGAACCTGGTCAGTTTCAGTGTCCCGATCATCGGTGCATTGATCCGTTTTATGTCTGTGACGGGGACAGAGACTGTGTTGATGGAGCAGATGAACACGATTGCAGTTAAGTATCATTCCCTCACCCTCCCCTCCGCTCACTCACTTCAGATAAACCAATTACTGTTCCCACATGGCTGGGACAGCAGAGCCTTTACACTTGGAGTGGCTCGGGCTTAGGGGTCCCTCTTCCAGCCTTCGGTGGGGCGCCATTGGTGCCAGCGCCGGGGGTCAGGATGGTATAACTACATACCTTCTTCTCACTCTTTAATATATGTACTAAGAAGTTGATTAGAACCTTGTCTCTATGAGATACCTTTTTTTAAAACTTGCAGTATACAACTGTACTTCCTCTGAGTTTAAATGTGCAAGCGGAGACCAGTGCATCAATAATTATTACCAGTGTGACGGCGTCTTTGACTGCAATGATCACTCAGATGAGGCTAATTGTCGTAAGTACACTGTAATAACAGAAAAGTCACATTTTTCGTAATGAACTCCAAGGGTTGAAAGTGCCATCTACAAGCAAGATGAAGTTTGTCTGTGAAAACGCAGACTGATGCCTACAAATCAGTCTCAGCTTGATATGAACAAAAGAGTAAAATAGTGTTATCTTCTCTAATGACGGTATGATATTGATTAAACCCAGGGTCCCCAACCTTGTTGAGCCTGTGGATGCTTTTTAAGAACAGTTAGTGGGCACCACCACAAAATGGCAGATGTGTGAGCTGGGGCCAGTCTAAAAAAAAACGGCGAGAGGTTTGAACCAAGTATCATCCTGCACTGGAAGCGGCTGTTTCTGAATGGGTGCACCCTGGTGCCTCAACTGCATTTTAATTCAAGAAAACGTCTGTATTAAAGAACTGCAAAAGTATTAGGTGATCTTTTTTTATAAGGATAGATACAATAGTGGTTCCACCGATCCTCAGAGGCATTTTCCATGTTTTCTTGGAGCAGAAAGGTAATCTGTCAAGGCTGGCCCTGTAGCTGTTGTTAATATTTCTTAATTGCAAAGGGCTGGCCCCCATGTAGAAGGTCAAATCCATGCAACAAGACCAGACACAACTACGATACAGGGTTTTGCAAACCTGGGAGAATCCCTCGGTTTCGAGAAAGCCCTTTTCTTAAAAAAACCCCAAACCTCATAGTTAGCAGTGACATCTGCAGGATAGATATTTTCCAGGAAGCAAATCACTGGATTTCAAGCACCATTTGTCAAAGCCCCCTTGTCCCACAAGAAGGCTTTGGGGTATAGATCAAGACCAAAATGCACAAGACTGGGGAGTGAATACTCCTCACTGTCCAAGGTAACCAGCCGCCACCAGCCCCTGTCAACTAACCCTCAGTTGACAGTGACAGACAAAGTATCCAGTCTTACTGAGTCTTAATCTGCCCTGCAAGGTAGAACACTTGCAAGTTGAATTCCAAAAACAATTACTTTGGTAGCAGTAGCCAAAATTGGCCAAGGTGTTGGGTTCAGATTGAAGCCCTGAGACCTAAATTACACCACAGGAGTATAATTAATAAGGTTTATTAAAAGACATGTGCAAAAGTATACAAATGTAAGAACAGTGCAGAGACAGGGAAGAAAATAATAAAACAAGTAGCTAACCTAGAACATTTAGTCAGGCTTCCATCCTCTGATTCAGATGTTACCTGGTCTGACTAAAGATACAAAGTCCAGATAGAACTCCAAAGTCCAAACTCCCAGAGCAGGTGTTCTGACCATGCAAGGCCCAGCCTATAGTCAAAAGATGGTTAGACACACCAAATAGAATGAATGGTCTTGCTTTATGCCAGGCTGCCCACAGCTGCCTAATCCTGTAACCAATGAGGCATGTTGATAAAACATATGACCATCTACCTCTGCAGGTGACACATATTCACAATCAAGCAACTTTCCCATGCACAGGGTTCCTTTAGCTAATAAGATGAAATGTGAGTGCAAAACTCCCTCTTGGTCTTTGTCCTTGAAGCTCCTGAACTGATGATCTCACTTGTACCTGTGTCTGACTCCATCTCATTCTTTATCTCGTTCTCTCTGAAACTGCAAGTCATTGTGACATTTACTTCCCAGGGAGGACCTCCAGTAACAAGTTGGCCTGTTCGTGAACCAAACTCTTGAAAGGCTAAGACATGGCTGAGCGAGGCCAGTTTCTTGACACCATTTGAGATTGACATGGGACAAAAAATGTGCTGATGGCATGGAAGTGGCAGGAAGGGGGGGGGCAACACAAAGAAGGCGGTGTAGAGTTGGGTCTAGTGAGGACCGCGGGGGTGGAATTGGATTTTCCCTTGCAGTTCATCACAACACCCCCCTCCTGTTTAACTTCTAAAGCTTTGCAGCCAGCCATATTCAAAATTAATTTGATTAAATATGTTTATGTACATGCTAATTCTGCCGTGCATGCTTCATAACCCCTTTCCAGCCACAAGGCCTGCAGGGATGTGTCACCAGAACGAATTTCAATGTCAGTCAGATGGTAACTGTATCCCCGTTACCTGGGAATGCGATGGACACCCCGACTGTGCTGATAGCTCAGATGAACATCATAGATGTCCACCCAGGACTTGCCCTCCTTCTCTTTTCCGCTGTGACAATGGACACTGTGTCTATCGGGCCTGGATCTGCGACGGAGACAATGACTGCAGGGATTTGAGTGACGAGAAAGACTGCCCCACTCCGCCTTTCCGGTGTCCCAGCTGGCAGTGGCAGTGCCCAGGCCACAGCATTTGTGTCAATTTGAGCAAAGTGTGTGACAATCTCGCAGATTGTCCTAATGGAGCTGATGAATCACCTCTTTGCAGTAAGTTGCTTTCTCCTATGCATGAAGACCTACAAGAGAGCCAGTTTGGTGCAGTGGTTAGGGGCACGGACTCTGATCTGGGAGAACCGACTTTGATTCCCCACTCCTCCTTATGCAGCTGCTGTCGTGACCTTGAGTCAGTCACAGTTCTCTCAGAGCAGTCAAAAGAGCTCTCTCAGCCCCACCTACCTCACAGGGTGTCTTTTCTGGGGAGGGGAAGGGAAAGGAGATTGTAAGCTGCTCTGAGACTCCTTCGGGTAGTGAAGGGTGGGGTATAAATCCAGTCTCTTCTTCTACAAAAGCCAGCCCGGTGTAGTGTTTAGGGTGTTTGACTGGGATCTGGGAGACCTGCTTCCCAGGGTTGTTGTTGTGAGCAGAAAATGGAGGAGGAGAGAATGACGTTGTATGTTGGGTCCCCATTGGGAAGAAAAGCAGGGTATCAAATAAATAAATAAAACCCCGTGCATTGTTACTGCTTAGGCCAGAGAAATTGATAAAAACTCCATTTTGTGCCTATCAGAATGTTTCAGACTCAACCTACCTCACAGGATTGTCACAAAGATAAAATGGGAAGACCCATGTATGCCACCTCATGTTCCCTGAAGGAAGCTCAGTGAAGCGTAGGACGAAATGGAATCCATCAGTTCCATCCTGTGTTTTGCTAAATGTAAAGTTTGTAGCCATACAGCGATACTGAGCCTACTGATGTTACAGGACTTTTGCATTTGCAAAATGCCGTTTTAAGTAATTCATTCAGTACATGCACGATTTGAATGCTATGCTTCAGATAACTTAATTATGTTATGCTTTAAATCTACACATGCCTTTAAATGCTATTTTAAATTTATGATTCGAGACTGGAACTTAATCAATAGCTGCTTTCGATTTAAAATCAAATTTCATTCAGTCTTTAATATTTTCTTCAATTATTTCTAACTTTTATCTGATTTTAATCTTAAAATTTATGAGACGCCTGAAATGGTGTTTGTGCTGATTACTATGAATGGTGATTTACACTTAATTCTAACTTCTTTCTTTCTTTCCTCCTTTTTTCTAATCAATGCACATTCTCAGATGAGCCTCAGCCAGGTATGATCATAAATCGTATCAGACGCACGCTGTGATGGCAAAATTTCAAATCACGTTTGTTAAAAACCTAGGGGGCTTGTTTGCAGAAACAGGGATCCCTCACCTGGTGTCAGAGATTAGTATACGCAGGGTTTTTTTTCCTGAACCAACAACCTTGATTGAGGTTGTGGCAAAGAGAAGGGAGTTGAGTATTTCAGCCGCTTACTTACTTAGGCTATATAATGATTTGTGCGTGTTTGACAGGATTGCGAAGGAACATAATCCATATCTTGTCATGTTAGTACACAGTCCTTTGATTCATACCCTGTTTCCTAGACTTCATAATCTCATCAGATCACAGAAGCTAAGCAGGGTTCACCTTGGCTGGTACTTAGGTGGGTGAACACCGAGGAAGCCCAGGGTTGCTACACAGAGGCAGGCAGTGGCAAACCACCTCTGATCATCTCTTGCCTCCGAAACCCTCTAGCATCACCATAGGTCAGCTTCCATTTGACAGCACTTTCCAGCGCCGTATTTTCCAGCTAGCCTAAACTTAAAGTAGAGCAGGACCTATTAATTAGCATTTGTCATAGCTGCATTGTTTTATAGTTTAAGGGAGGTGAGAATTTTGATAATCTATATACTAATACTGAAGTCGCCCCCTTGCGTGCAGATACTTATTTCCGCGCATCGGGGGCACCTGGGGGGGAGGGAGATTTTTGTGCACACTTGGGGCAGTCCCCAGGTGTGCACAAAAATCTGAAAAGTGTAAAAAAACATACGGGGGATATTTAAATCCCCCCAAAAGTAACAGAGCGCTCCCTGTGCATGCGCAGGGAACGCTCTTAAAACAGCTTTGCTGCCGCCGTCACCAGAGAAGGGGAGGGGGTGGGAGGGAAAGGTTTGGCCGGCTGGCGTCTGTAAGCCGCAAATCCCTCGCCGCTGCCCAGGGGAGGAAGGAGAAAGTTTGGCGAGCGGAGCTCCGAAGCCTCGCTGCCGCCACAGCTGAGGGGGGGGAGAAAGCTTGGCGGGCCAACGAAGCTTCACTGCCGCCGCCAAGGGAAATCTGCACGGGCCTCGCCGTCAGGGCCAGGCAGGGGCGGGGAAGTAAGGAAGTAAGTAAGGGGAGGGAGGGGGGAAGGAGAAAGGTTGCCAGGCTGGCCTCACCGTCACCACTGGGGGTAGAGGGAGGGAGAAGGATGGGCTCACCTGATGCCGCTTCTGCAGGCTGGGAGCTGTAGGAAATACTCCCCCCCCCGCTAGTATCGCGGGTCCCACCTCTTGTAACTAACTAATGTCCCTCTCCCATTTATTCACAGACCAAGAGAGTTGCTCAGATAATAACGCCGGCTGCACACACGAATGCATTCAAGGGCCCTTTGGAGCCCAGTGCTCCTGCCCATTTGGATACCAGCTTGCCAATGACTCCAAGACATGCGAAGATATCAACGAGTGCGACCCTCCAGGATTCTGCAGCCAGTACTGCCACAACGAAAGAGGGTCTTTTAGGTGTTACTGTGATGAAGGCTATGTGCTAGAATCCAACCAGAGGACTTGCAAAGTTGCAGGTAAGGAATCATCATCACCCACACTTTTTACCTGAGATTTTTTTAAAAAAAAAACTTGAAATGCCAGCGATTGAAGCTGGGACCTTCTGCATGCAACACCCATGTTTCCCACTCTCCTTCTTGTATGTCTTTACCCTACTATTCTCTTCATGTGGCCCAATTCTGCCAAGCTCAATTGACCAGTGGTAGCATCTTGTGTTCAGAAACGTGTAAATGGCCTTTGTTAGTTATGTAGCTACACTATTGTCTTTTGCTTGGTCCATTGTAAGTTAATGGAATTTGCTAGTAATACAGTTATAATGGAACAGGTTAGTAATTCAAGTTACCTTTGCAGATTTCATCCAAATGTTTGTGTATCTGTAATTTTTTTTTAAGTGAAGAGCAATGTAAAATAACATTTAGGCTGATGGAACTACCAGGATTGCACGTTTTTTTGGTCACTTGAGATTTGTAATTTATATCAATTTGTTAAAAATAGTGTACAGCGTATTTGTACGGAGATGAAATTTCTCAGATGACCACCATCCCCCTTCCCTCTGTGTGGATTACAGCACTATAAATATGCCATGGAACTTCAAACTCTTTTCATCGAGATGGCAAAAAACGCATGCTGCCCCAAGGAGGGTGATCAGCTGGTATAACATCTCTATTCTTTTTTCCTCACAGAGACTATCACAGAGATGTTACAGGAATGGACTATGTAATTCTTGTTTTCAGAAACAGAGTCTCTTGATAATCCATGTTAGGGATGTTTTGAATGTGTTTAAGAGTAACAGGTTCTGAATGCAATTTCAAGTTACCATTTATTATTTCCACTTGCCTTTTTTTGCAGAGTCTGGTCCTCTTCTCTTGTTAGTAGCAAGCCGTAACCAGATTGTTGCGGACAACATCACTTCTCACGCACAACACATTTACTCTTTGGTTCGAGATGGGAGGAACATCGTCGCTATTGATTTCGATTCAGTGACTGATCGAATTTTTTGGTCTGATACTACGCAGGACAAAATTTGGACTGCATACCAAAATGGGACAGACAGAAAAGTAGTAAGTGTCTTATTGCAGGCAGGCATGTTCTTGTTGCAGAACTGAATAGCACATACACTTTGATCCACTGGAGTGATAAGGTCTGGATATGGATATGGGAGGTGTTGTGTGAACAGGCCCAAATGTAGCCCCTTCACACAGCAGTGCCTATACATAAACCAGGAAGTGCCTACTGAGGGAGGTCAGTGTCAGGAAGAGGGGTCCCTTATGCCCTGAAGGGATCCCTCTCTGTCTCCCTCTTTCATATTCCCACAGTAGAATGGACTGGTCTCTACATTAGTATTGCCTTGCTTTGTTGCCTTTTTAAATAATAATTTTAAGGGAGGGGTCATGGCTCAGTGGTAGAACATCTGCTTGACATGCAGAAGGTCCCAGGTTCAATCTCTGGCATCTCTAGTAAAGGATCCAGGTAGTAGGGGATCTGGAAGACCTCACCCTGAGACCCTGGAGAGCCGCTGCCAGTCTGAGTAGACAGTAATGACCTGGATGGACCATTAGTCTGATTCAGTATAAGGCAGGTTCCATGTCTCTGTTTATTCATGTACAGTTTGTGTGTGTGTGTGAGCCATTGTATAAAGGACATTAGATCTAATACAGCAATTATACCAATAGCTTAGAATTGCAAAAGTACCGACTTGCTCCTTCATTGTTTTTGGCAGGTGTTTGACAGTGGTGTCACTGTAACAGAAAGCATAGCAGTGGATTGGGTAGGCCGTAATCTCTACTGGACAGACTTTGTTCTGGAAACAATTGAAGTCTCCAGACTTGATGGAAGCCACAGGACTGTTCTGATCAGTGAAAATATAACAAACCCAAGGGGGCTCGTGCTAGATCCCAGGATGGAGTAAGCTTGCGCTCCCCCCCCCCCAAGTCTTATAATTATTGAAATGTTGTTACAGGTGTCATGTTGGTTGACGGGATGCTTTTTTGTTTATAATGGCCACTGTATCAAGCAGTTAGTGCATGTTAGTCCATTAGGAATAGTCCAGATGTAATGGCAAATTACAGCTTGCTTCTTTAAAAACAAACCAAGAGGAAGTCTTTGGCTTGTATGATCCTTTCTTTTCCCTCTCTCCTACCACTGGATACAGCAACTATCTAAATTAAGTGCCAAACCACATCCAAACTAGCTGGCGAACTGTGGTTTGGCACTTTATCTGCAAACCAAGACTTCAGACTGGGACAAAATCCCACCAACTGTATACTGTGACTTTCAAACTGCTTAATGACCATCCTGCTTTTGAAGTTTTAAGCAGGTAGCAATTCCAAGAGGTTTAATGAGCCGTCATTCATGGCCAATGTGTTGCATTCAGCTTGGTAAGAGCCAGCGTGGTCTAGTGTTTACGAATGGTGGACTCTAATCTGGAGAACTGGGTTTGATTCCCCACTCTTCTGCATGAAGCCTGCTGGGTGACCTTGGGCCAGTCACAGTTCTCTCAGAACTCTCTCAGCCCCCCCCCCCAACACAAGGAGATGTTAGCAGGTAGCAGGGAGAGGAAGGAAAGAGAAGCAATTGTAAGCCGCTTTGAAACTCCTTAAGGTAGAGAAAAGCAGGGTATAAAAACCTTTTCTTCTTCTCAAGTAGTGTGCAGGTCTTCTTTTAAGATTACCTTCCCAGCTATTTAAAGCTTACCACAACAACCTCCATGCCTTTAGCCCCACGGTTTGAGAAAAAATATTCAGTTTTTGACAATATGGGCTGTTCTGACTTTTGCATGTGTATGAATGTGTGTTTCCTGCCTGATACAATCCTTACACAGTTTCTTCCCACAGTGCTCACTTGATGTTCTGGACAGACTGGGGTCGGAATCCTCGGATTGAAAGAGCCAGCATGGATGGCACGTTGCGCACCGCCATAATCACTGACAAGGTCTATTGGCCCAATGGGCTTGCTATCGACTATCCAAACAGATTGCTGTATTTTGCTGATGCCTATCTTGACTACATTGACTTCTGTGATTACAATGGGAACAACAGGCGGCAGGTGGTGGCAAGTGACTTGGTACGGAGAAAAGACAAACGGGTTATCTGGAGTGTGATACAAATGCTTGTGGTATAATGTGTATGTGCTTCACAGTGCTGAGGCAGTAATGTGTGTTGTCCAGCATAAGGCCCCCCCCCCAGTTTCGTTGCAAAAAGATGTCTTATTTCTCTACTCCCAGCTTGACCTCTTATCAGACAAATCACTCCTTCCAAAATTTACCCTTTCTGATGTTGCTGACCCACATGTAGGATTCTTTCAGAATGGGCAGGGACAAATGAAAGAGATATAAACATAAGACCATAAGAGAAACCATGTTGGATCAGGCCAATGGCCCATCCAGTCTCTCTGTCACACAGTGGCCAAAACCCAGGTGCCTCAGCAAGTCCACTAGTGAGGCCAGAACTCCAGAAGCCTTTCCACTGTTGCCCCCCTAGCATCAAGAATACAGAGCATCCCTGCCCCAGACTGAGTGTTCCATCTATAGTAATACCTTGTGGCTAACAGCCACTGACGAGTCTCTGTTCCATATGTTTATCCAATCCCCTCTTGAAGCAGTCTATGCTTGTATCCTCTACCACTTCCTGTGGCAGTGAATTCCATGTGTTAATTACTCATTGGGTGAAGAAGTACTTCCTTTTATCTGTTCTATGTCTACTGCTCATTAAATTCATTGAGTGCCCGTGAGTTCTTGTATTGTAAGAAAGGGAGAAAAGTACTTCTTTCTCTACCATCTCTATCCCATGCATAATTTCGTAAATGTTGATCACATCACCCCTCAATCATTGTTTCTCCCATTTAAAAACTCCTAACCTGTTTAACCTTTCTTCATAGGGAAGGTGTTCCATCTCCTTAATCATTTTAGTTGCCCTTTTCTGCACCTCTTTTTGAGGTATGGTGATCAGAACTGTACACAGTATTCCAAATGAGGCCTCACCATAGATTTATACAGGGGCATTATGATACTAGCTGATAATCCCCAGCATAGCATTTGCCTTTTTTATTGCAGTCACACACAGAGTCGCCATTCTCAGTGAGTTATCTACTATGACTCAAAAATCTCTCTCCTGGTCAGTTACCACCAGTTTGAACCCGATCAACGTATATTTATAGTTAGGATCTTTGACTTCATGCAGTACTTTGCACAACAAATAGTCATTGAAACAACATAGTTTGTTTTGCAGTGCTGCTGTACAAACTGATGATGTAAATCATAGCAGCCATGTTAGTAAAAATAAAGGGTTGGAGCTGGACTAAATTGGAAGTTACTTTCATCAATTGAATTACACTTCTGTGCTTCCCTGCTGCCACTGCTACCCACTGATGCCTCCAACATGTTTGTCCTGGGAGACAGAGGATCAGTGGGCTGAAGTGTGTGTTGGGGGGAGAGGTGGAAAAGTTGCATTTTGTAGACAAGCCTCCCATTCACAAAAACCAGACTTTGGATCCACCCTGAATTATTGTGGCACCTTCAGGTCATGCTATGTTATGGCGCAAGCTTTAGGCAGGATTGTCTCCGTGGTACAAGTACAAGCAAGGAAAAGCCATTCAACTCGCTTTGCCTGGTGCCACTTTAGTTGTAGCATCACAAACCCTGTTGTGTTCTAAAACAAGCTGGTTCGGTTTGATGAGTTTGGGATGTTCACAGTATCACTGCTCCATATAATACACTTAATGGAACTGGGGAATAAAAGTTACTGAGTATCTCATTTCTGTTCCAACCTTCTTCCATGAACTCTAGGTGGTATATCTTGGCAGCATTTCTTGTGGAGGATAGGTCTGTCAGTGGCTACTCACCCTGGTGACTAAAGGGAACCTCCATGTTCAGTGGCAGTAACCTCTGAATACCAGTGCCAGGAGGCAACATCTGAGGAAGGTCTCAGCTTCTATGCCCTGTTGTTGGGCCTCCAGAGGAACTGGTTGGCCACTGTGTGAGGCAGGATACTGGACTAGATAGACCACTGGTCTGATCCAACTGGGCTCTTCTTATTTTATCCTTGTATCAATCCTGTGTGGTTGATTAGACTGAGAGGAAGAAGCTTCCTCTGAAATGACACTTGAGCCTAAGTCTTCCCAGTCCCAATTTATCTAGTATAATACACCACGTCTGGAAATCAGTATGTTATGTTCAGTATTCTAGAGTACACATGGAAATAGCGTGAAGTATGCTTACATGGTAGAGTGGCAAGTGGAGAAGTACCTGGGACCAACATAGCTTGTAAGACCGGATGTTGTTGACAAAGAATGCAGTAGAAATTAGTAGAATAACAGACCTGGTTTCGTTCAGAAATCACACTAAACCATGCCAATAATTATTGAAAAACTAATTTGAACCAACATATTGTCTCCATGGGCAGAAGGATTGTCCACATTGTCAAATATACCCCCACCCGTTATACTCTAGAATGTACCCTACAGTGTTGCTCTTTGGGGGGCAAGGGACAGCATTTCAGTGGCATTTTGGGCTGCAGTGGGAGGCGAAAAAGTTAATTCACCCACCAAAACACTATGCTGGATCCAAGCCAATCCAGCAAACCATCTTACACACTGCTTTGGCTTTTTTTGCATTTGTTCAATGTTATATTGTGAAGTTGAGCAAACTACGGAGGACAGGAGGGCCTGGCGTGATGTGGTTCATGGGGTCGCAAAGAGTCAGACTCGAGTGTGTGACTGAACATCAACAACAAAAATATTGTGCAGTGATCTCTAGAGGTGGAGCAACAGCTTTAACTGTGCTTTGTCAATTCAGAGTTCCTGCATCATTAACACAAACCATCAGTAGCAAACCTACTTTGGACTGCAGTTTCTGTCTTGTTAGGCAGCTGCAAACCATGGTTTGTCAATCTGAACATAGTTAACCATAGTTGAACATAGTCAACCAGATATTTTTTGTGTCAGAGCTTTTATGAGCTTCACGTTATTTCATCAGAGGCATGAAAAAGCTTAGAAACTTGCAAATTCTTATCAACAATGGAAGAGAAACTGTTCTAGATGTTAAAATTCACAGGTAAAAAATACAAAGGAGACAGCTGCCCCATCTTACCTGCTTGAGAGAGATACAAGGAAAAAACTTTGTCCTCTCCCACATAGGGCAGATGCAAACATTATATGTTATATGAGATGTCATTGCAAGTACCTTGCATTTCGTGTTCTTCTGTATATCCTCTTCTCTCCCCTGTAGTGTTATTCTCATATTGCTTCTCAAGAAAGGACAAAGCAGGTTAAAGTCTAGATAGGAAAGAGCTAAGCAAACAGGCCTGCCTAGTGGGCGAAAATCAGGGCAAATAACATGGGGTAGGCAGAATGAAATTCAGAGGTCAGGTAAGCTAGTTTAGGAACACAGAGTTCCCTTGGTGGCATTATGAAGGCCGTTTAGGAATACTTACCATATTGCTGGTAACAACTTCCTGCTTCCTCTCAAACTGAGCAGTGTGAGGATGGCCCTTTCCAGTGCTCTTCATTCATTGTACACAAGAGCAAGACGGAAGTTTATATTTATCAAATATTCCTATTATTTTAAGAAAGAATTCAGTCATATTTTATCAAATCAGAAACGAAAGCAGCCTAATGAGCTATGTTATCCCCCCTCCCATTATGCTCTGTTGTCCTTTTTTCTCAAGCTCACTTGTGGATGTTGGGATGTGTCCTTCCAGGCTGCAGGAAAAGAACTTCCTACAGCCTACAGAGCCTTTCTCCAGCCCAAGAATAATTCTTCCAGCTTCAGTGGCTTTTCTGTCGGAGGAGGAGTCACTTAAATGGGAGGGTGATCACTTAAAATGTTGTTTAGTGGAGTGGTAGGATAATGAAAATAACGATATGTATGGAAACCAGCCCATTGCTCTTCTTTTAGATATTGCAGCATCCTCATGCACTCACAATCTTTGAAGATTTTGTATACTGGAGTGAGAAATTCACCAACCGTGTTATTCGAGCCAACAAATGGCATGGAGGAAATCAAACTGTTGTTATTTATAATATTCACCAGCCTATGGGTATTGTGGCAGTCCACCCTGTGAACCAGCCATCTGGTAAGTCTGGCAGGCTGTATTTTGCAACAGAAAAGCAAAGCATGGGAATATTAACCATCAGTGAAGGTGCTTTTTAGGTAGCTGTCTTCAGTGAGGATCAAACTGACCTAGGACAGAGAGACATCCGTTTAAAGCTTTCATGAAAGTGCAGTGTCATTAGGTTAGAAGGGTAAGTACAGTGGACGGGACAGTAGTCAATGAGACAGCCTTGTCTCAGTGGTGAATGAGAAAATCAGAAATGACTTCTGTAGACATGGTCAGGGGTAGGGATGGGCATGAATGGCATTTTTGCAGTTCAGTTCGTGGCTGAACCACGAACTGAACCATGAACCCATACGAACTGGGAGGTCAGTTCATGAACCAGCCCAGTTCATATCGGCTTGTGAGCCATTTACCCCTGCTTTCTGCTCCCCATGAAAAGCCGCAGAGAGCAGGAAGCATGGGTTTCCAAACAGCTGAGAGGCAGGGAACTCCTGCTTTCTTCTGTTCATGAACTGCCACGGACTGCACCAAAATTCGTGGAAGTTGATGGCAGTTCTTCACCGCAACCCGCCCAGAATTTGTGATGAACTTTAGTTTGTCACCTGTCTCTAGTCAGGGGCACCACTGATCTCAGACCAAAAATACCTTGATGGAAGGGAGAACTAGACCTATGACCTCAACAACCCCAACCCCATTTGTTTATTGCCCAGTGGAACCCCCTTCACTCAGCCCAACTTTATGACAAAGACTTTTATTGGGCTATGTGTGTGACCACTTGTGGCCATTCCTCAGCTCTCCAGCCTTTTCTACATTATTAATCTTCTTGCTGATTCTGATCTACCTCACCTTTCACACTAACAAACTAAATGGTTTGTTTTCTCTATGGTTTCGAAATGAGGTAAATTCATTGCTATCACTGTCTTCAGGAAACAGTGTAGACAGCCTTGTATTCTGGTCTTGGCGAGTCTGTAGAAAGCTAGGCCAGGCCTCTTGTACCATTTTCCTTCACCTCAAGAGATGGTCTTAGTGGATTGTGCGTGTTCTGTTTGCATCATGGTGCCCTGCTGCACTTTTGATTTACCAGTGCTTCTGTTTTTATCTCAGGTACCAATTCTTGTGCCTTCTCCTCCTGTAGCCACCTGTGCCTCCTTTCTTCAGTGGGACCACGGTTTTATTCCTGTGCCTGCCCATCGGGATGGACTCTCTCACCTGATAATGTGAACTGCATGAGAGGTGGGAAAGGGAAAAAAATGCAAAAGATGCTTTTTCCAGGGATGTGTCTAGTCCCAAATACAATATTTCAGCTAAGCGGGGGGGATCGCCTGAATTTTGTTGATATCATTATAATGGTTGGATCCAAATGTGAGGGGGATTTTCACCTATTCCTCCGTTTAATTGAAGGCTCTTCCCCTCATTCTGTTACTGAGGATCTTGCTTCATCTCTGGGGGAAGGAGGATCCCTCTCCTCTGATGGATGTGCCTCCTTTCAGTGGAAACCAACTTTCAGATTTAACATCAAATGCCATATTTGTTGTGACTAGCTGTAACAGTTCTACAGCAATGAAATTAATGTAGTTACACCTTCAAGGAGAATCAGTAGCCAATGCTTTTGAATCCTTATATTAGAATTTTTGGTATATGTAACCCTACATTCTGTCGAAATGTGCCTCCTGTTATACATTAACATATTATGAAAAGTTAAAGGGTTCAGTGTAGAGAAGGGAAGACACCCTAAGCACTATTGAAATGGACGGGAAGCGGTTCAAGCCCACCTGTTTGAATGCTCCCATCTGCTATGGCTTGTGATTTCTGATATTGATTAGGGTTGCCACTGTTTAATCAGTTTGATAGCTTAAGGGAGCAAGCCTAAGCAGGCCACCTTGGAGTAAAATCCCATTTTATTCAATGGGGCTTACTCCCAGGAAAGGGCTTCAGGATCACAGCCTTAACCTAATTGACTTCAGTGCAATTCAGGCAACCGATTAAGTATTTTGTACTGCAAGCTAGGGGCAAACACAAATATTACATGCTGGTGCTGATATTTTACATTGTAAAGTACTATATTGTCATTTATGATTTTGAAAGAATCCCTTTGAGAAATTTAGACTCTGAGGTTTGCTGATGAGGTTTTGTTTCGCTTGCCAGGAGAAACTTTCAGCAACTGTGTTAACCACGTTTTGCTTGCATGACTTCATTTCCATTACAGGAATATTAATAGATTGCTTACAGCTAATTGGTGGAGCTAATGTTACAAACTGCTCTGTTGACAGAAAAAGTTTTAATCCCAAAATTGCTACCTGTTCTCATTTTATCTTTGCCGTTGATCTTTTGATACATGATGCAATACTTGCAATGTTTTTATGCTTCCTTGTTTTCCTCATGCAGTTTGTGGAAGCTTTGTGGAAGAGAGCCAGTTTGGTGCAGTGGTTAAGAGTGGTGGACTCTGATCTGGAGAACCAGGCTTGATTCCTCACTCCTACACATGCAGACAGCTGGGTGATCTTAGATCAGTCACAGTTCTCCCAGGGCTGTTCTTTCAAGAGCAGTTCTCTTAGAGTTCTCTCAGTCACACCTACCTCACAGGGTGTCTGTTGTGGGGAGAGGAAAGGAAGGCGATTGTAAGCCACTCTGAGACTCCCAAGTGAAAGGCAGGGTATAAACCCAGTTCTTCTTTTTAAAGTATCAGTTCTGTTGGGCCATATCTGCACTTGGGCCCCTTAAAAGCACATATCTTATGAAAATTTGGGCACTGATGTAGGTGGCATGTATAGCTGAAATCTTAAAGGCAATGTTGTAAGAGGGGCACGTGCTGTCTTGGCGCTTTAAACATAGTCTGTCTTGGAAGTGGCTCCTGGTTGCTTTGGCAAATATCGGAGACCACATGGAAACTGTTTTGGTAAAAATCAGAGACCACATGGAAACTGCTAGTAGAAACAAACATAGGCCCCGGTCACATGGGAGGTTTAGCCCCGCAAGAGGGACGGATCGGGGGCGTAGCAAACAGGCGCGATCACACCGCAACATCTGGGAAGCGGCGCCCACCCTTCCCCGATCCGTCCGTGAAGGCCGATAACGCGCAGCAAAAAATAACCTACAAAAGAGCAGTACCTACCTGAAACGCCGCAGCAAGTGCGGCCGTGGGATCGCCGGCACGCCTGTCTTCAGGAACATTCGAGGCTCCCAGCAGAACTGTGCACGCGCACACATGCGCAGCCGGCTGCCTCACTCTCCCTTTCGTGGCTCCCCCCCCCCGGCATCTGATCGTGCCGGGGAGCAACTGTGCAGCGGCTCAGGGGATCTGTCTGATCCCGCCGCTGCGTGTCTCTTTTGGTGCGGCTCTAAAAAGCCGCACTTTGGCTGCGTCATTTCCCCCCGTGTGGCCGAGGCCATAGAGTAGGAAAGGATCCCAAGGGTCCAACCCCTTGCACGATGCTGGAAATTCACAGCTGCCTCCCCTCCCCCAATGACCCCTGCTCAATGCCCAGAAGGATTCCTGGGCCAATCTGGCCTGGAGGAAAATTCGTTCCTGAACCCAAAGTGGTGATTGGCATTATCCTGGGCATATAAGAAAGGTCCACAAGAGCTGAACACTGGCTCATCCCTTCCTGCCCTCCCTTTCATGATCTGCCTACATTCACAGAATCTGCACATTCCTGTCAGATGGCCATCTAGCTCCTGCTTAGACCTCCAAACAAGGAGACAAACAGTAGGACAGATATTGCAAAAAGCACTTAGTGCACTTGAGATTCCTTGAGGGTCAAGTTACATGTGGTGTTTGGAGTCTGTGGTCAGATGTCCTGGAATGCATGGCGGTGGCTTGTTAGATTTGCAGCACTTGAGAAGGTGGTGTGTTTGTGTGCATGTGTGTGTGTGGGGGTAACTTTTCTCCCATGCCATCCTCATCAGAAATCCCTGTGTGTCCCCTCTCAGCCCCTCTTTTCTGCTTTAAGCCCAATAAAGGAAAAACAACAGGCAACATACAGTTCCCAAAGGTGTCTGATTAGGGGAGCAGAGTGGGCATGGGGGTAAGAACTAAACACCACCACCCATTACCCCGTGCTGTGGCCCTAATCATGATAATCTCCCTTCCCCCCAAAGCTATCTTTCCCCTCTAAAATAGTCTTGGGGATTCAGTCAGAGATCCCTGGCACCCCATGTAAGCTCGATGCTTCAGTACAGTCTTGAACACTGAAGACTTCAATTGGACTGTTCCAATGTAAGCATGCCATAGGTGCGCAAATCACTTTCCATGAGCATAATGTAAATGTTTTTGTATTCCACCCCCCACCCCCGGAACGAACAAACCATAGACTTTCATTTTGTTAAATCAAAGAAAATGTGTGAGTGTAAAATTCTGGTGCTTAATGGTGCTGTTTTACAGTTGAAGAGCCGTTCCTGATAGCCGTAAGAGACAACATAATTTATGGCATTTCTCTGAATCCTGGGGAGAAAACCAATGACGCCATGGTCCCAATAGCAGGAGTGCAGAACGGTGTCGATGCTGATTTTGATGACGCAGAGCAGATGATCTACTGGGTTGAAAGTCCAGTGAGTAATGCAGTTGGTTCCTGTAGTAAAGAGCCCGCTTTCTAAAACTGGTGCAAGAAATGGGAGCTATAAGCATTACCTGGGCATGCCAATCTTGGCGTTGGCACAGCACAATACAGCTCGTGTCAGCATCGCTCTTATGCTTGGCAAACGGGCGAAATGTAATCCTATTATGAAATGCTAATTTCTTGCTTAGTTTCATAACTTCTCACTTGCATGTGTTGCCAAATGTAAGGCTTATATATTTTTTTTTTAAAAAATCAATTTTATATATTAACTTCATTTACAAACCACAATTCAGCTCAGAGCCCTCAGGGTGGTGAACAGTATAAATCAGTTTAAAAGAACTCTGCATTAAATCAACAAAGGATGCTTTAAAAACATGTTACCACCAATGCTCCTTCTAAGTTGTGGAGTCCTGTGAGCAAAAATTCTACCTGGTGAGCTACTGGCAGTAAAGTTGTGAGCGAGCAATTTGGCTCCTGCATAAGTTAGTTAGCTCTGGAGCCATCCCTCCTGAGCTGTGACAAAAATGTGTGAGATGGAGGCTGAAAAACTGAGCTGGCTCACACTAACTCAGCTTAGAGGGAACACTGGTTACCACCAATGTTCTCTCTAAGCTGCAGAGCCTTGTGAGCAAAAATGCTACTTTGTGAGCTACTGGCATTAAAGTTGTGAGCGGGCGATTTGACTAATACATAAATTAGTTTGCTCTGGAGCCATCCTTTCTGAGCAAACACAAAAATGTGTGAGCTGGAGGCTAAAAACCTGTGAGCTGGCTCACACTAACTCAGCTTAGAGGGAACACTGGTTATCACACTTGTTTGCTTCACTTCCCATATGCCCGATGGACTAGAAAGACCTGAGCCTCTTTGGTTTTTGTGGCCTAGTGGTCATCTGTGGTGGTGCAGTGTGTTTAGAATTCTGGTTGGGTGGATTTCAGTGCAGTCCCAAGCCTAGTGACTTTGCTTAGGATCGCTCTGTTGTTCTCTCAGCCCAACAAGGCCTGAGCTGTATAACAATTTCCTGCCGTGCTGCATTATTAGGGTTGCCCCCCCTCCAGTTGAGGTCTAGAGATCTCCCAGAATTACAGCTAGTCTCCAGATGACAGAGATCAGTTCCCCTGGAGAAAATGGCTATTTTGGAGGGTGGACTGTATGGAATTATGCCCTGCTGAGGTCCATCTCCTCCGTAAACCCTGCCCTTCCCCATACTCCACTCACCAATCTCCAAAAGCTTCTCAACCTGGAGTTGGCAACTCTGTACATTATCGATCCAAGCGGTGTTGGTGATGGCATACGTTGGCAGCATCGGCACAGTGCTGCTAGCTGTAATGCTTTGGCTACTTATGGGCGGTGACAGACAATGTTCCCTCTAAGCTGAGTTAGTGTGAGCTAGCTCACACTAACTCAGCTTAGAGGGAACACTGGTGACAGACAAGACTGTGGATGTTTTGAAAAGGAAGCAGAAATGGGAAGCATTTCACAACTGCTGCCATTGACATGGGTAGGGAGGAAAGTCAAAGCTGATTTCCAGGTTGCGTGCCTGTGAAAAAGGGATGTCGCCTGATAGTTTTAACTTTTTGTGCTATACCTACATTTGGAACTGAGGCTGTTAGTTCTGTTTATTGAACTGTCTTTGGCAGTTGTACATCATGCCTTTGCCTTGAACAGTGGTAGTCCTTTTGCATTTGCAAAGGCCTACATACCAAGCTCGACGTAGCATTCCTTGGTAACCATTTGCTACAAGAAAGCCATGCAGAGTTTCCTTGTTTGAGCTCCATTTAATGGCATTTCTGTAGAGGGAATAAGATCGTAACATAATGGAGTGGAGGCTGCTGGTACTAAAGGGAGCAGGTTTGTAATCTGTTCCACTGCTTATTGCATGTACTAGCTTGCTCTTATTGCGTTATTTCTGCTTTTATAATTCCATTTTTGCATTGTTTATGTTGTATCTTTTTTTTGGCATTGTTTTTGATTTTTGTGATCCTACTCCTGTTGCATAGTCCTATGGCAAGGCTGTTTGGTTGCATCATCTTACACTGTATAATCTCCCTTGAGTTTCAGTGAGAATGGCAGGCTATATAAAGTACCTAAATAAATAATTTCTCCCCCGCACTAAGGGTGAAATTCATAGAGTGAAGTCGGATGGAATGAACAGGACTGTATTTGCCCCAGCAGCTATTATTGGAGCACCTTTTGGCCTCGCTTTAGACTGGATATCTGGAAACCTGTACTACACTAACCCTGCCACGCAATCCATTGAGGTAAGTGCTACATCTTCGCAGTGATCAAGCTATGTTAACCCAATTCAGTTGACAGAGTTTGTTTGCACCTATAGTGTAAAGCCGGTCCAGATTGCATGCACTGTTACGAAGCTTATCTAGGTTTGTAATTTGGTTGCTTGATTTTATTTATTTATTTATTTATTTAAATTTCTACCCCGCCCTCCCCACGAATGGGCTCAGGGCGGCTAACAAACAAGGGCACCATGTGCCAATACATAAAACCAAGTAAAACAAGATAAAATTGAATAAATATCAAAATTACACAAAGTGCTCAGTACTGTTGCTCTTAAATTAAGACAAGATGGTGTCCAGTAGGTGTTGCCTCCATCCCTGTACAACGGTACCGATCTACCGCGCCACTGAGATGCCATCATCCTAGGGCCACTCCGTTCCCAGTTATCAACTGGGTTCATTGGTGATGGTGGTAGTGGCGGCTCCTAATCAAAAGCCTGGCGGAAGAGCTCTGTCTTGCAGGCCCTGCGGAACTGTACAAGGTCCCACAGTGCCCTGATCTCTGCCGGCAGCTCATACCACCAGGTAGGAGCCGCCACTGAGTAGGCCCTGGCCCTGGTTGCAGCAAGCCGGGCCTCCTTGTTGCTTGATAGAACAAAATCAGCTGGCTTGGATCTGTTTTGCAGGTTCTGAAGCTTCACAGTGAAGTAATCTACCGAAAGACACTCATTACCAATGAC